GATAAGTTTCAAGTGCCCGTATGCCGAGATCAACGAGTAATTACTACGAACGTTTTTAAACACAAAAACGTTCTTCTATTCACGGACTCTCTGCTGTGGTCTGTTGGTCCTAGAACTGCAAAATCTATGTCCTTGTTACTAATGTACTCTACACATACACACGGTTCATATGTTTGCTTGTGTATGTGAACCTGCAATGCGTTTGCCATTCCACTTTTCCAAGTGGTTTTTCATTGTTTTGCACACCGATCGATCTGTTCGTTGTCAGCGTTCCGCTCTCTGATTCCTCAACATACAGTTTGTGCATTGCATGCTGATGAATATTACTGTTGCTCTTCCTTGTTTTTCACCCCCGACGGGGGTAACAAAACTATTATCCAGGAGCCAGCCAAGGTTGTCTTCGATCACTCGCTCTCAAATTGAAAACGACACACGTGCCACCCGGGGACACACTGGTGCACAAAGGTGACGTGCTCTGTTTCGTCTGCTTCATTGCTCGGGGCAGTATTGAGATACTTATGGGCAGCGATATTGTGGCCGTGTTGTGTCAGGGTGATGTGTTCGGAGAGAGTCCGTTCGGGCGATATTTGATGGGTCAGTCCAAGTACTATGTGCGTGCTCTGACTTATTGTGATTTGCACAAAATTCAACAGGATGATCTCATGGAAATACTCGAAATGTATCCGGAATTTGCCAAACAATTTCGGCGCGAATTAGAAATCACATTTGATTTGCGCAGCGTAAGTTCCCACTGTTCGCTATCCGTGTTGTGTATCTGCTTTTGCTTTGTACAGATCCGTGTTCCATGTGTCGGACTGTCTTTTTTCTATGTCATCTCTCTTTCTATTATGTGTGCTTCACACTTGCTGTCACACTCGCACAAGCTTTGTTTGTTATTCTCTGGTTGTATCTATCTGTACGACGGCGGCGGCGACGACGACGAGGACGACAAATGCGTTCACCCCCACTCGGTTCATCAAAATCACGTCGTGTAAGGATCTCGCTTGTAATTTACTTTTTCTCTCAATCTTTCCATCGCACACAAATCACCGGATGGTGAGTTGCCGTGCCCGCTGTTTTCTTCACCTGCCCCTCTCCACCCGGCCCCGTCCGCGTCCCCAAATGAAGATGCAAAAACAAATAATTTTTCCGCTTCGAATTTCACTGGATTGTACTTGCTGTACCGGTCAATGAGGGGCTCATGAAACGTCCGCAATCCGGGCGGCTCATATCTCGTAGCAGTGTACAAAGTGTGATTGTTTCATATGTCGTCCCCATCAATAGTCATGACTTGTTCGATGGGTATGTTGCTGTTTTGATCGTCCTGTGGATTTGGGAACTGCTTCAGTTTTGAGCATATTCACAGAACATCATATATCGAATTCACTTCAGTCTACTATTCCTGCGTCACCACTTACTCCATATTTTTGCTTCTAAGATATTTTTCAAATTGTTGTTTGGCAAATTTGAAGTTTGTAGGACGATTGTGAAAAGTTCAGTAGCTTAGGTTGACTCCGGTGAATTCTGAGGAAAACCTCTCGGGGCAGTCAGCTTACATGCTAACTGGTGGATGCCACATACCTCTGTAAGTTGGATGGGTAATTCGAATATGAAAAGATCAGTACTATCGATGTGGCTTCGTAGCTCAACTGGTAGAGCGTGTGCGTACAGAAGGTAGGCGGCGTCCGTGCGTGGGTTCGAATCCCAACGAGGATACTGAACCTTTCGCAATTGCCATTCTAAGATATTGACGTAGTTATTCTTCCAATATTACTATGCACTATGCACGAATTTCGAAGCAAACGTTTGTGTACCATGAATCTAATTCTTGCATGAGATGAGTGGACACAATCCGTCGATACACGCGAGCAATTGTTTGTAGTTTATTGGGACTGAAGTAATCTTTGAGAAGTCTTAAATTTCTACATCCGTAGCAGTGCACCAAACAAAGATAATTCTTAGCAATTTCCTCTTTCTTTGAACCGTAAATCGATCCATTTGTGGTCAACCCATTCGACAAGAAAAGCAACTGTTTTTTAGTATTTTGCATAATAAAACTTTGGCTTCTTCAAAGAATAACTTGGAGTGAACCACTGAATGCTTCTACGAAAACTCTACAATTCCGGAGAAGAGGTTTATTTCTCGATTGAATCGAGGAGTATTAGGGACGAAGAATCATGTCAGTTCCTGTTTGTTGGACTACTTCAACGTGCTTTAGGACAGTTCGAAATAAAGCCTTTCCCATGCCTGCTAGCAGCCTTCATTCGGCCACATAAGGAATACGCCGTTCAAGTATAGAGTCCATGGTTGAACGAGACAAGAAGCCTGGAGAACGTCCACAAATTTCGACAACAAAAATAGTGAAAGATCTGTAAAACAAAACATACTCCCATAAGCTGCAAATATTGAGGCTTTAGTCGTCTTAGTACCGTCGAGTTCGGGAAAACCTAATCCTGACATACCACGTATTGCATCAACCCGACAATCACCCTTGCCGTTCGGTGCTGACTTTTTCTGAAAACCATCCCCTCAGGGTACATTCATTGAAGTTGAGGACTAAGAACAGTCACCTAGGTTGCTGACCTCATTTTTTTCGTGTGTGCCTACAGTTACAGAATTATTCAAATCGCAGCTTGATAAACGCATTAGAACACCTAACATTTCAAATCCGTGAGTGTTCATGTATATCACCATTCTTTTCTACTTGTAAAGTTGTCCAAAACATACTGTAACAATCTAATCGGGTACGATGAATGGTAGCATTGTTCAAGCGCCCATAATAAAACTTTTCTTCGATTCCTTTCCGAAGCATTATGTAGTCTTTCGGACACGACAGTGATGTTACGGGACAACTTTAGCTGCCTCTCGGAGAACGGATCGTATAGCGGAATCGAAAATTGAGTGCTGATCTATGTGGATACACTAAACGTATTTTGAGGCACTTTGTAGAGGTTCATTGAACTAATCCGCCAACGGTTGAGAAAAACGCTCTGTGTTAGTTTAAGTACAGCAGAAGTGACGGCTATGAAACGAAATTATTTGGATTATGGGGTGACTATGACCAACTTTGGGCCTAGATAGAACCGGACAGATCGCCTGGGCCTGAATTTCGTGGTTGTCCGAATATCGATTGCTTGTTCTTGGGGAAAAGAGTCAGACAAACGAACCCCCATGGTTATTGGTTTGTCCACTGACTGTTTCTGCTGTCCACGAAGCAGTTGATGCTCTTGTCAGAATAACTTTTCATTTGCAACTTACCCCACAGACAGACCATTCCTAGACTTGTAGGGTAATCTGTTTGGCCCGGGTTTTGCTTACGGCAACTTGTGTTTTCAATTGTTTTTTTCTCAGAGCTTTTATCAGCGACTAGCATATTATTCAAATGTGAGCGAAGAGCATTTCCCCCTGGGTAGCATCATTGAAAAATAACGTACTTTCATTGTCTCAGTAAACTGATCAACAAAATAGAGAAAACCCCGATGAGACTTAAACAGCAGTATAACTGTTCATCGAACAATTTTTTTTAAATTTAAATATTTGTGTGTTTTGTTGTGTGAATAAAGGCAGGCTATATCAACTGCGGATAAACGTTTGATCTAAAACAAAAAGACACGATCATCACTACAGTGGAGATCTGCGCTTCCAGTTTGTTTGTGAACGCAAATGATGGGTTGCTTAGTCATGACTTTTTCCATTACACCGCTGCTCGCGGGGGGTTAGGGAGCGAGAGGTCCGGCAAACCGAAAGAAAGGTTGCGTTGATCCCTTTCTAAAGTCGCAAAAAATATGAAATCATCAACATTAAGGGGATAATAAAAAGAATAGGTACATCATAACCTAGTTTGATGTCCAGCTGGGATCTAGACAAAGCTATCTAATAATTACCGTTCAACATATTTTGAGAAGAGCAGAATTCACAAATACGAATATACTAAATGCGAATCAATTTTCTGTGCTGCTTCTGGTTGGTGTGTAATTAACCTCGAAAACAGAAGCAGTCCTCGGATATGGTTGTGGTGTTTTATGTAGTGAAAATATCTCCTCTCTTTCTCGTGCACGTTGGTGGCCTCATGATGAACTTGAGTGTCGTGGATTATTAAACACTATCATGACTATCGACTACTTCCACCACACTGCATCCCTTGAAGCTGGGTTTTCCCTGCTTCCAGCATGAAAACGGGTTCTGTTCATATCAACTTGTCCAAATGCAAATCATAACTGCTTTTCTGTTCTGCGTGCATCTGTTTTGTTTTCCATACGTTCAAAAAATTGAACCAATCATCACACACACATATGGATCAAACACGTGACTTTAATGGTTCATAAATGCTGTCTGATTTGACAGCCCTCGATGAACAACAGGAACCAGATTTCATTGCTTTGCCAGATTGATGAGGTTAACCGTTCACCTGAACACGTGACCTGTTCACTACATGTAACATAAAACTCTGTGCATCCTAGAATCCTCATCGACCTGACCAACTGGTCTTGACCGGAGCTAAACTCCTACGATTGCTCTAAACAATTCCATTACCTCCCCCCTACCTCTTCCTAGGATTTTGCAGTTTTTCCATTTCCAGTTTTAGCACATTAATCATTTTTTTGAGATGTTAATACAATGGTCAAGCAGTGTCTGAATACTATATTTCAAATTCGTAACTTTGAATATAAATAAACTGTGATCAAACAATAAACGATAGTGTAACATAAGTTTCTGGGCCCCCTCCCGTTCGCTCCAGGTTCAATTCGAATAAAGCAAATTATTACCGCATAGGGTAGTCATTGTTTGGTGATTTATCAGAGCCAACGTCCATCATGCCCCATAGGATTCTTACGGAATGTTTTCGACAACTTTACAAGTAGACAACTGTAATAATACGCATAATCACTCACAGTTGCTGAAGTGTTCAGTGTTCCAATGCTTTAGCAAGCTGTGATTTGAATAATTCAACAGTGGTTGGGTTGATGCAATATGTGGTATGTCAAGATTAGGTTTTCCCGAACTCGACGGTTCTGAGACTAATAAAACCTCAATATTGGCAGTCTTTCGGAATATGTCTTGTCATACAAACTTTTTACTATTTTTTGCCAAGCTTTTGCGAACGCTCTCAAGGTCATGGATTCCATACTCAAATGGCGCATTCCGTGTGTGGTCAAATGAACACTGATAGCAAGCGTGGAATCGGCTCAATTTCGAACTGTCCGAAAGCACGTTTAATTAGTACAACTTGCTTTCGAGCCATGGATGATGCTGTGGCACAGTACGTGGAAATTCCTACGTTTTCCTGTACCGTAACTCCTATATCCGTTACGTCGTTGGCATGCGGTAGTGTTTGACTCTCCAGAACATAGGAGAAACAATTCGTGTGCCTCATTAAAATACATTTACATTTTTGAACTTTAAATTCCATGTCATTGGCGATAGACCATTGATCGTTTCTTGAGGTGCCAGATAATTCCATGGATCTGTCACTGTTCTTTAGATTATTTCATTGTCCGCGAATAGTAGTGTGTTTGGCCCCAAACATGTGGAAGGGGGTTTATAAATGCAAGGAAAAGACTAGGCCCCAGCAAGCATCCTTGCGGTACCCATCAGACATTGGCGATAGGTCCAGATGATGAATGGTAAACACGAACTGATGTGTTTTTTGTCGGAGAATTTTTTCGATCCAGTCGAGAAGCTACCCTTATTCTCCGTAACTACTGAGTAGACTGCAGTATCATGGGATTTGTGTTGGATATTAGAATTCCTTCGGCAACGTGCTGTGGCGGTTCGGGTTTCTGGGTCGTTGTCTGTTCCCATCAGCGAATGCATTCCACAGGGATCCCTTCTTGGTCCTCAATTTTTTGTACGTTTCACAAACCATCCTGCGGACATTTTGGGCCTACAGACGTCTGTCTTTGGATGGTGCGAAAATGAATAAAGCAGTAATATAACTTGAAGACTCACTGGCACTTCAGAGAACAATAAATGGTGCTTATCATTGGTTGATCCA